TCTATGTTGGAAGAAATACAACCAGAATGTTTCTTAGAAGCCAGGATGGCAAGACATTATGCTTGGTAAAGTGTTGGGTCAGTGAAAAAGAGAAAGACCCCCAACGAGATGGATTGGCACAGTGACAGCAACAATGGGCTCCGTTCTAACAGTGATAGTGAGGATGGCACAGGACTAGGCAGTGTTTTGTTCTCTTGTGCATAGGGTTGCTATGAGTCAGAAAAGACTTGATGGCACCTAAGAACACAACAATCCTAAAAAGCAGACCACACCTTACTCCTAACTATAGCCTAATTCTTACCACTAAACACTAACCCTACTCCTAACCATAACTCTAACAATAAATGAAGTCCTAGGCCTAGTTTCATCCCAACCCTAACTCCACTCCTTATTCCTCCCCCCACCCCAAGAATAACAGTAGTGAGATATGCACACCCTAGGCATTTATCCAAGGACAGAGTTCCAAAGCACTGGGAAAGAAGAAGAAATAGAAACATGGTAAAGTGGAGTATCACTGAAAACAAGGAAGACCCCCAACAAGATGTGTTGACACCATGGCAGCAACAAGGGACTCAAACATAACAATTTTGAGGATGGTCTAGGACTGGACAGTGTTTTGTGCTATTGTGCATGGAGTGGCTATGAGTTGGAACCTACTCAAGGACAACTGACAACAACAACATAGCGTTGCTATCATTCGGAATGAACTCCATGGCAATGTTTTTGTTTTGTTTTCTGTTACTATGTATCAAGCGATCATTCATAAGGTTTTCACTAGACAAATTTTTAGAAGTATATCACCAGGTCTTGTAAAAAAACAAAAATGTCATTTTGAGGATTAAGAAGTGCCTCACGCAAACCATAGTATTTTCAATGACCTCATATATACAGGAAAACTTGATATTCCATGCGAGTAAAGTTGTACTAAAGGTAATACAGAAACGGCTGCTACCATACATTGACAGAGAACTTCCAGAGGTTCAAGCCAGATTCAGAAGAGGATATGGAACGAGGGATTTCATTGCTGACATCAGATAGAACTTGGCTTATAGCAAAGAATACCAGAACGATGTTTACCTGTGCTTTATTGACTACGCAAAGGCTTTCAATTGTGTGGATCATGACAAGCTATGGGAAACATACTTCGGTATGAGTATTCCGGAACACTTAACTGTGCTCAGAAGGAACCTGTACATATTCCAAGAGGCAGTAGTTCAAACAGAACATGGGAATGCTGAATGATTTAAAATTAAGAAAGTTGTGCCACAAAGTTATATTCTTTCACCATACTTATCCAACCTATACGCTGAGCAAATAATCCAAGAAGCTGGATTATATGAAGAAAAACGTGGCATCAGGATTGGAGGAAGACTCATTAACAACCTGCGATATGCAGATGATACAACCTTGCTTGCTGAAAGTAAAGAGGACTTAAAATACTTACTGATGAAGATCAAAGACCCAACCTTCAGTATGGATTGCATCGCAATGTAAAGAAAACAAAAATCCTCACCACTGGACCAATAAACAACATTCTCATCAATGGAGAAAAGATTGAAGTTGTCACGGACTTCATTCTTCTCAGATCAACCGTCAACACTCAGACTTTGTCTCTCTCATACTTTGGACATATTGTCAGGAGGGACCAGTTGATGGAGAAGCATATCATGTTTGGTAAGGTGAGGGTCAGAGAAAAAGAGGAAGACCCCCAGCGAGATGGATTGTTCTGTTGTGCCTAGGATCACTATGAGTTGGAACCGACTAGATGGCACCTAATAACAACAACAATTGGACTTTTTTTTTTTAAAGTTTATTTTGCCTATAGTCTATTTTCAATAATTCTTAATATGAAATCTGTACAGTTCTGCTCTTATCTTGAATCCTTCATATGTACCTGGTTATCAAGTCATACTTGAATATGGCTATTAGAGCAAATAATTTTACTGTATCTCAATAGGGAAATACTGAAGGCATCTGCATTTTGTTTATAATAGAATTCAACTCCTCTTAAGAATGCATCTTTTAAATTACACTCAGACTTTAAAATATTGAGTTTTGGTCTCCAGGGTAAAAAATACAAAACAGTTTAACATTCCATTAACTTTGTACACTATTATCAGATGTGTATGCTTCTATTGCGGTGGCGGTGCTGTAAAGAGAGAAGCACTTGTTTTCAAATACTTCGTATGCCAGGTAAAATAAAGGAAAACACCACTCTTGAAAAAAACAACCTATTACTGCTTAGACCCTAAGGCAAAATATAGAAGCAATCTTTTTGTCATATTCTACCACAGGTAGTTAAATGTGCAGTTAGCAAGGCAACTTTTCAGCAAACAGGTTTTACTGCATTTTTTAGGTGTCTAATTTACTAACTTTGCATATTTAGAATACAAATAAAGCCTAAAGCAATTTTTTTCTTCCCAGTTGTCACAGAACATGTGCAGGACACAAAGATTCTATCCTTTTTTTCTTATAGGATGATGTTGTTGTTGTTAGCTGCCATCGAGTCAGTACCGACTCACAGCGAACCTGTGCACAACAGAATGAAACTGCCTGGTCCAGAATCACAGCAACTTACAAGCCACCACAGTACAACAAACTGACAGTCAAGTGATGGTCTTACATTATCAAATATAACTTATTTATAGCTGACAACGGAATCCTGGCGTGGTGCTGCAGGTTAATGCGCTAGACTCTAAGGTCAGTTTGAACCACAAGCTCGGTGGTTCAAGCTCACCAGCTGCTCCTTGGACACCCTGAGTCAGAATGGACTCAAGGGCACTGAGCAACAACAATGTTTACATGGCTACAGTTCCCTGATGGTTTAGTGGCTAGCAGCACTTTCACTGCTACAGCCTGGGTTTGACTCCTGGTCAGGGAAGCTCCCTGGAGTTCTGGTGTGGTGCTGTAGATAAGCACTGGACTGCTAACCACAAGGTCAGTAGTTCAAATCCACCAGCTGCTCCTTGGAAACCCTATACAGAATCGCTGAATCGGAATTGACACATAGTAACCCTACATAGGGTTTCTGAGGCTGTAAATCTTTACAGGAGCAGAAAGCCTCATCTTTCTTCTACAGAATGGCTGGTAGTTTTGAACTGCTAATTTTGAGGTTAGCAGCCCGACTTTTAACTACTATGGTACCACAGCTCCTTTAGCAACATGTGTACATATTGATAAATCACACCTTTAGAACCAAGCAATCCAAAATTCATATCATACTGAAATTTAAAAGTTGTTATTGACCAAGTGGATTCTTAAACTATTTCAATTTACATTTTTTTTTTTTTTTACTGTGAATCCTTCAATTCATCAACTGAAAATTTTATTGTATGTTCCTTGGAAGAAAGGTCTGGCAATCTACTTTTTAAAAAATCAGTCACTGAAAAACCTATGGGATACAGTTTTACTCTTATACACATAGGGTTGCCATGAGTCAGAATTAAATTGATAACAATTAATTCCTGCTGCAAAACTGTGTAGGTTGCATACATTGAATGCCCCTAAATCAAGGATTGTTAAACACCCTATTAATTAGACAACCAGGAGTTGCTCACAACATACAACTCCTATTATGTATAGAGAAGTACCTTGGGCTGCAGAGACAGTTTGCACCGGACTACTGGTGTGGTGCTGTGAGCTAAGGCATCTGACTGTAAAGTTGTTTGAACTGCAAGGTCAGTGGTTCAAACTCACCAGCTGCTCCTTGGAAACCCTGTACAGGGTCTCTGTGGGTTGGAATGGACTCAACAGCACTTACCACCACCACCACCGCTAACCTGGTTTGGTAGTTTGAACCCATTCAAAGGCATTATGGGAAAAAGGCCTGGTGATGTGCTTCCACCAAGATTACAGCCTATGTAACCCCCATGTAGGATCTAAGTGTGGACTGTGGGCAAGTCATACTTAGAACCCTCATCTATCGAGTAGGTGGAAGCAACAGACAGGCTCAGAATCACTACCCTCAACAAAGAAGTCAAGAAGGGAATTTAGAATAACTTATTTAAAAGCAAAAGCAAGCAAGAACTTCCATGAAAAGTGAGACATGGTGGACTAGTAGATTCAGTGGCCCCCAGAAGACAAACATCCTGCATGGTGCTGCATCTTCTGCATCACAGTGGCTTTAAATGCACATCCTTCTCAAGAGGGCACATTTTGAAATCAAAAGGAGCAAAGACAACGGCATAATTTACTTTCTGTTATCCACAAATTTAGTATATTCCACACTGGGTTTTTAGTGGTAATTTTGATAGTACGAGACACCTCATTTTAATCTTAATCTTTATGTTTATACCCAAACTCACTGCGCATTGAGTCAATTTCAAAACTGTAAATCTCTATGGGAGGAGACAGTCTCATGTTTCTCCTGCAAAATGGCTGGTAGGTTTGAACTGCCAACCTTCAGTTAGCAGTCGAACGCTTTAACTATGATGTCAGCATGGTTCTTTCTATGTGTGTCCACATCCCTCTAAACAGCATCTGTCATTGGACTGAATGTCATTTATGTGTTTGTCTCTTCCCTCTTCTCTCAGGAACACAAGCTCCATGTCTCCTGTGTTCACCATTACAATCCCAGGACCAACAACTGTGCCCAGTGCGCTCGGCTGTCCTTGTTAAAAGTGCCATTGAGTTAGTTCTGACTCACAGCGACCCTGTATAGCGTTTCTCAGGAGTGGCTGGTGGGTTTAAACTGCCAATCTTGTGGATAGCTGTCCAGCGTTTACCCTACAGCCTCACATCAGGACTCCTCATTAGGAGCAGATGCTCAATAAGTGTCTGCTAAAGAAATATGTTAATATATGCATAATACATATTCATACTATATATATGGAATTTGAAATTGTCCCAAATACATGATCTCCCATAAAATTTCAAGAGCATAAGAAAGTTACTCCTAGTCATTAAACAAGATACAGTGTTCCTATGTAAGGAAGTGAAGAAAAGAACTGCAGCTTTAACTTGGGGGAAAAAAAGAATATAAAACACAGATTAAGTCAAAGTTTAATTCACATAAAGTTTAATCAGTCAAGTTAAAGAAAATATCAAAACTTTTGAGTTAATGTATGGCAGCATAAATTTTTGTTGCAAAGAATACAGTATTTGGTGCTTCCATTGTGAACAAGCTATGCTGCTGAAAGAGCAATTGCATTAAATCTTAACTCCTCAGGGTCACGTTGCATAAACTTCTTGCAAACTTCTATGGCATCCTAGAGAAAAAGAAAACACACATTTTTTAGTTTATATACATGCATTTACTTTAAAATGATAAAAAAGCATTTAATATTTTTCTAATTCATACTAATTTCATCATGCATACAGGCTCTTTCAGATGAAAAGTAACTTGAACATCACTAAAGAATGAATACTTGGTGACCTAGTTTACTTATTATTACAAAAGTATGAGCTACAGTAAGTGTTCTTTTATCGATATCTCCAACTTTTAACCTGAAAATTATGTATTTGATTGATTTCAAGCCACATTTTTTCCCCACATTTTAAAATCTTGAAAATCAGGTTCATATTAAAATGGATAGTCTCTTGGATTCAGTGAAATGTGGTCTATGATATGCAATCTTTTTAACGCTGTCCTTAACGTTTTTCAAATTTGACACCTGTTCACACTTTGGACTCTGAAAACCTCTTATTCGATACAGATGTTTAACACTAATTCAAGCTCTTCATTTTGGATTTTCTAAAGGACAAGGATGCATACAAATATACAGAAGGTGTTAGTTCAGTGATCTTTAGAGATGTTTGAAAGAGAACAAGAGCATTAATAATGTTTAAAGCAGTCCAGCAGGTTTTATAACCTTACCTCTAATAAAGTTTCATCACTAGTTTTCCCATGGTTAATTGGAAATGGTTTCCGTCCATCTATGGAAAAAAGCCAAACAGTTGAACAGTTAGCTGTTTGTAAAGGTACTATACTTTCTACTTTCATTTTCCTCTTTGCACACTGAGGCAAGAAAAGTTCAAAGATATTTAAAATAATAGATATTAGTACAAATATTAGAAATGAGTTATCTATGATCTTTTTTTTTCCTTCATTTTGTGAGTTATTAGAAGTTTACTTCCATACTTCAAAGACTTAACTATCTTTAAGAGTAGGATCTACCAAAAAGAAAACAATAGGTTTAATTTTATATAAGGAATATTCAAAATTAACCTTTTAAAAAGGATTATGACCCCTGTTTTTATTCTCAGAAGCAAACATTTTCTGTCTTCACCTACAATGCTAAATCAGAATGCTCTGAAGAAAGACTGAGCATGCTTACCCACCACAAGGGAGTCACAAAAAGACTTATTTATTACACTGCTAAGTCTGTACCATCAAGGCAGCAGTATAGACCAGCAACCTAAATAGTCTGGGATTATGGTGTTTTTTTTTAACTTTTTATTGTAAACTGAGTGAAGAATTATACATAAGGTCACCAGTCTTACATTCAACAAATTAGTACACTTGGTTTCATCTCAATGACTAGAATTCCCTTGATGTAACAACAGTTAGCCCACACCCTCCATGTGCTTCCAATTTCCATTCCACCATCCTTCTCAACTTTGTCCTTAGGTAAATGTTGCCCTTTTGATCTTGAATGACTGAGCATTCTATGTTCTCTTGTACACAGTTTTGCTATGAGTCAGAGCCCACTCAACAGCACCTAACAACAACAAAGATTATGGGTTTTAAAGAGCATCACTTAATTTGTGTTACTGTTAGTTTATATAATTCTGGCTGGGTCTGTTCAACTTTTTCATAGTATTCAAGGTGATTGTAATTTTCACTGATTATTTTGGTGGCCAACAAAATAATGCCAGGATTATTAGTCCTCCAGCACCTTTCAGGTCTGGAAAGGAATTTACCCTCATGGCCCAATTTTCTGCCAAGCAATAGACAGGCATATAGAGGGGACAACAACACCAAGACTTGGTGGTACTGATCAATATACTGAATGTTGTATTTTGGCTTTGGTGGACTTGCTTTTTATTTACATGAGCAATTGATGGTCTGTTTCGGTTGGTCCCTGGCCATGTTTTGTCTCATAACACTGAGTTTCTCTATCATATCTTTCCACAGATGTAGTCAATTTGATTCCTGTGTATTTCATCTGCCAAGGTCCATGTGTATAGTCACCATTTGTGTTATTGATAAAACTTATATGCAATGAAGTCATTGGTTCGTTGTGAGCTGTTGAGTTGGTTCTGACTCATAGCAACCCTGTATACGGTTTCCAAGGCTGTAAATCTTTAGAGGAGCAGAAAACCTCATCATTCTCCAGTGGGGCAATTGGTAAATTTGAACTACCAAAGTTGGGTTTAGCAGCCAAGCTGGTAATCCACTATGCTGCCAGGGCTCCAGTGAAATTCTACAAAATTCTGTCATGCAATCCCCATCTTCATTTCTGTCACCACGGCCATTATTTTCCAAGTATGTCTTCAACTTTTGCATTCCAAGCACCAGTAATTATCAATGCATCCTGATTACACGTTTGATCAATTTCCAACTGAAGAATTTTCTTAATCATTTTCTTTAGTCGTTGTTGAGTATATTTGACTAATTTGATTACACGTTTGATCAATTTCCAACTGAAGAATTTTCTTAATCATTTTCTTTAGTCGTTGTTGAGTATATTTGACTAATATTCACATTAAGTGGTCTTTCTTATGGGCATTTAGATATTATCCTATCACAGAGTGCATTGTCTTTCAAGACAGATCTTGAAATAGTCTTTTTGACAATGAATGTGGCACCATTTCTCCTGAATTTGCCATTCCTGGCATAATAAAGCCATATGACTGTAGGATTCAAAATGGCCAATATCTGTCCACTTCAGCCCACTAATGCCTAGGATTCTAATCTTTATGCATTCCCATTCCAATTTTGACAACTTCCAATATTCTTGGATTCATACTTCATACACTGCACCTTTTGATTATTAATGGACTTTTGCAGCTGTTTCTTCTCATTTTCAATCAGGCCACATTAGCAAATAAAGGTACCCAGAGCTTTGCTCCATGTATGCTATTAAGGTTAACTCTTCAGGTCATATTTTGACGTGAAGCGCTCATCTTCTGGCACTATATCACACGATTCGCTGCTCCTCACCAGGTTTTCAGTGGCTAATTCCTCAGAAGTAGACCACCCATTCCTTCTTCCTAGATGGTTCTGAGTCTGGAAGCTCCGCTGAAACCTGTACACTATGTTGACCCTGCTGGTATTTCATCCACCATTGGCACAGCTTCCAACAACAGAGCAACATGTCTCACAGCATGATAAACCGACAACGAGTGAAGTACATAATCTATTGTTGTTGGTAAGTGCCACTGAGTCGGTTCCGACCCACAGTGACCCTGTATAGGGTTTCTGAGGAGCAGCTGGTGAGCTTGAACTGCTGATCTTGCAGTTCAAATGGCTTGGCAGTCTAGCACATTAACCCACAGCGCCACACCAGGACTCAATATTCAACCTCTAATCTCAGATGCCTCATAAGCAGCACGTCCTTAAATTTCCATAAAATATAAACCTTTTTAGAATTGCATGGCTTTCAAAACATAATGTAACGTTTTTAAAACAGTATACATATGGTGACATACTTAGATAGGCAGACATTGTTTTTAGAGAAATAGCAGAGTGAAAATTAATACTAATATTCACGATGGTTAAAATACTACATGGTGTTGCTACTGTTCCTGTTAGCTACCCTGGAATTGGCCCTGACTTATAGCAACTCCATGCATTACAGAGTAGAACGGCTGACTCCACAGGTTTTTCTCTGCTGTAGTCTTTATGGAAGCGTCTGTCAGGCCTTTCTTCCAGAGTTGCTGGGTGGGTTTGCACTAGGAACCTTCAGGTTGGCTGTTTGTTGCTATAGTCGTCATTGAGTCCATTCTGACTTGTGGACTGCAAACCATTTGTGCCACCCATCCTTCCCAAAACACTACATATAAACTGAGATTTCTATACATTAGGCCATCAGAATTTGTGATTCTCATTTTTGGGCCAACAATGAGATAAACAGTCAACATTCTAAAGAAACACGTCCCTAAATGACAGTTTTTGAAATGTAATTCCTAAATAACAATTTTTTAAATGTAATTCCCATGGTCCTCTAGGAACCATAAAGAAGATATTCTTCTATAAACACTATATATGAATAATTCCATACCCATATTTCTATGAACTTTTATCTTTCTAAATGGCAATGTACATTTCTCAGTAACATACCATAAAGCATCTCAGGTTATCCTATTGTGACAGATGCATATTCTTCAATAGCTTATTTACTCTGTTCATCAGAATATACTATATACTGATGATTTACACTGTAAAC